AACAGGCCTCAAAAATTTTATAGGCAAATTCCTGATTTTTTGTATGAGCAGGTGACTGGAGGAGGCAGGTGAAATGATTTCAACATCATAAATCTGTTATAAAAGGAAATCTAAATTCTATGGAGCCTGGAGGTGCAAGAGAATGAAATACAGTAAGAACTAATCCCATATGATCTAAAGTAGATTTCGTTTTCCTGTAGAAAAATATATTGGACAAAATTCTGGTTCACCTACACATACCTGAAACTTAGCACTAAACGCTCATAGCAGGGAAGCCTTACACATTCTGAAGACTGCAACCATGTGAGGCTTCCAGCGTGTCAGACAAGTGTGTGTGCTGTTGTGCAAGCACACTCATCCTTGAACAAGTGCTTTCACTCTGGCATCAATGAGGTAAACACGGGACATAATCACCCCACTGTGGGGAACAAGTATTCACTGGTCACAGAAAAACCACTAATGATCTGCTGAAGACTACATTCACTGACTGTGTTTACTAACAATGGTGTTCTGTTTTCCACGTTTAGATTTTACTCAAGGCACTCCTCATATCTACTTGGTACATGTTGTGTAATGTAAGCATGTGTTTAGTAAGACAATGATAAGAAGAATAGAAGGGTGACTTTTTTAAAGTTTATTTATTTATTTATTTTGAGAGAGAGAGGGAGGGGAAGAGAGAGAGAGGGAGAGGGAGGGGGAGAAGGGAGAGATAGCAGGAGAGGCAGAGAATCCCAAGCAAGGCTCCACACTGTTAGTGTGCAGCCTGACGCGGGGCTCGAACTCACAAACCAGGAGATCATGACCTGAGCTGAAGCTGGACCCTTACCTGGCTGAGCCACCCAGGCACCCCCAGAATGGTGACTTTTGTTCCCTATCATTTATGAATGGGAAAAAAAGGAGGATAATTTTCTGTTAAAAAAAACATTTAAAAATATTTTTCTAAAACTTATAGCATATATATTTCATTAGACAACAGGAGCCATTTATTTAAAAATTACACAAGTGAGTTGGGGCACCCAGGTGGCTTAGGAGGTTGAGCCTCTGTATCTTGATTTCAGCTCTGGTCATGATCTCTCAGTTTGTAGGATCGAGCCCCATGTCAGGCTCTGCACTAACAGCACGGAGCCTTCTTGGGATTCTCTCTCTCTCTCTCTCTCTCTCTCTCTCTCCCCCCCACCCCTGCTCTTGTGCATGCCCTTTCTCTCTCAAAATTACACAGGTGACTTAATCAACTATTTTATTATTATTAACCTTCAAGGCAGTTGTTTTAAAATCTGGTTCAACAGATAAGGACTAGGGTAAGGAAGGCACCTCCTTGTAAATGTGGGGTAAAAATACTGTGGGTTTGTCCATATTTTCATCTTTTTCTGATGGTAGGATCCAGTTTACATGTGGTTTCAAAGGAAGTTGTATGCTAACGTCGTGGTAGATACTCAGGAAACTGATGAATGACACAGACCTGCTTTTGGCTTTATGGAGGGGGCAGCCAATATAATAATGGCTATATTGTTATCAACTGATTTATAAGCTGTAGTAAGTGCAGTGAAAGAAAAGTATGGGAAACTATACAGAATTTAAGAGAAACACAGGATCCAATCATGGAGGTCAGAAGAGTCTCCCCCAAGGACTTCTTGAGTCATGTGATGGGGGTTGGAAGAACTGGTCCTCCAGCAAGGAGGAGACTAGAAGCTAGAGTCTGAGCAAAGATCCTGGCCCAGAGGGGGCACGGTGGTTCCCAGGACCCCGGGGCATTTGAAAGCACAGAAAGTAAGCACAAGGGACAATTCTGTCAGATGGTGCTAGAGAGCCAAGCAGACCATCAAGGCTGTGATAAAGATTTTGGTCGTATTCTGAGAGCAGTGGGAACTCACTGAAGCAAACACCATCAGTCTTGTGTCTCTAAAAATATCCCATTGGAGGCAATTAAGAGAATAGATGGGGAAGAGGGGAAATGGAAGCAGGAGAGCAGAGAGACTGGCTTTTCATTATCTGGAAAAAGCATGAAAAGTATGTTGGACTAGAGTGATGGTGGTGGACATGGGGATTCAAGATACTTAGGGGACAAAACTCACATCGCGTTGGTGACAGGCTGCATGTGTGACGAGAGCAGCGAGAGGTCAAGGACGACCCCCGTGCTCCTGACTGGAGATGAAGACATGCGTCCAGAGGGGAACCCCAGGACCAGGGTGTTGTTTGGGCTGAGCGTGGTGCGGGGGAATGAAGAGTATGTCAGAGGAACTATTACACAAAATGCCTGAGCATCTGTATCTAAAGAAGATAAAGTTTGTAACAGGTAATTTAAATATTAAAATGTTTAATAAATATTATAAAGTATGACTTTTTTTTTTACCAAAAATTTTACCAAAAATTTATTTTGAGAGAGAGTGCATATGACTGAGAATGAGTGGAGGAGGGGCAGAGAGAGAGGGAGAGAGAGAATCCCAGGCAGGCTCTGCACTGTCAGCCCAGAGCCCGACACGGGCTTGATCCCACGAACTGCGAGACCATGACCTGAGCCGAGATCAAGGATCAGACACTTAATGGACTGAGTCACCCAGGCGCCCCAAAGAAAGTTCATTTAAAATTATTTTTTCTATCAACTTAACAAGAAATCACAGAAGAATCTGTGGAAGAAATTAGTAATGAAAAACAGCTTTACGTATTGTCAACTGGCAACGGATTTTCATCAAGAAAATAAATTAAGAAGACAGGAATCTCCAGAAAGGAACAAAACGCAACCCCAGTGCTAAGACAGTTATTACTCAACTTTCCACCTTTACAACATGAGCACTCTAACCATAAAGTTTCATCCACCAACCAAATCCAATAAGGCATATTTGAAATGGCAAATAATGAGCTCTTTGTAGATAACATTTTATTTCATGAAACAATTCTTCAAAATCTAACTTTTGAGACTATTCTATATCATCCCATTTTTAAAACAGTTCTAGTCTTCTGGTCTTTGGAAACTGCAACCGGTTTATCTGGACTTCCTTCAGGTCAACCAAAATGATAATATAATCTAGGGTCAATATCATATTGCTTAATGGAAATATTTAAAATATATGCTATAAAAGGCACTCTAAAAAGGTAATTTTCCAAATCACACGCATGTATATTCTCTAACTTTGAAAACTCAGAAGGCCAAAAATCCTTTTATGGACTTCAGCTTAAACATGAGAGCAGTGACAATTTTAATTTTAACATCTCCTTAAACATGAATGTTACATTTTGGAGACTATCCCACTGGAATAAGTAGTTAAATTTAGAACAAAAACAAAAATGGTGTTTAGTTCCAACACCTATAAAAGGATTTTTAAAATCCTGTTATACTTCAGGGTTACGATGGGATAAAGGCCTATTATCCAGTAAAACCTGTGAAATTCGTAGCATTTTATTCAGAATAGTGTACAGTAAATCTCCACCTCCTCAGCTACCAAATTCCTAAACACGGTTTGATAAAGAAGAGGGGAATGAGCAAAGAAGTGTTATTGTGCTCAAACACTACAATGATGCTATTATTCCATTAAAATATTAGAATTTTATCACACACTGGACTGTTACGCTGTGACCCACAGGCAAAGACTCTCCTCAGGAAGTTTCTAACTGCATGTATTTGGGAGTATCCTGCTTCATCCAGAATAACGAACTCCTCCTGGCAGTGCTGAATTATGATGATAACAGAGAAGACACCAGGCCCCAAGGGGTCACTTTTTAGATTTTTTTTTTTTAATCTTAAGAGTTTTGGCAGCGGTAAATGGAATGGAAAACACAGTTTGAGAATTTTTGTTTCCTCTTGCGAGTCTCAGTATCTGAAACGGCTTGTTCCTTCATCAGGTATATGAGCAATAAAAAGAAAAATGACTGTTTTTTCCAAAAAAAAAAAAGCAATTTGGGTTGCATAACAGGGCAGTGTCTGCAAACTCGGGAGGCCAAAGGATCACTGCAGTAAACATTTTAGAAACTGCCAACCAGATGGGAAAACACAGCTGACAAAACTGAGGTAGTCATTTCTACTTAGTTCTATCACAATAAGAGCAGATTTTTATTAGTGGGATCCAAACTTTTGATCAGCTAGGTCTGTAAGAGAAGACGTTTCTCTCACCTGTGATCTAAGTATAGACCGTTATTTGACTAAAAGCGTGACTCTGGGGTCATCCCACACGGTACAGATCAAACCGAGCATCCCGTTTTGGAAATTATTTTCCACTTTGAAGGTCAAAGTACAGTTCCGAATGTAGCCAGTTACCTATGTTACTCCACCTCTCAAAAGTGACTAGAAGCGCCTTTCAGGCAAACACGGCTTTGTCTCTGAGGAAGCGTCCAGACATCCGTGTGCAGAGGCCGGTGATCACAGCACTTCCAGCAACGCTCCGTGCTTGTCCCCAGCACACACATGCCCCCCGACAGCCTCCCCCTCCTCCATGGCCGACCCACCGCGCAGCTCAGTGCATCCGCCCCGAAAACCCCAGATCTAAACCCAACCTTAAGATGTGTTTCTTGGTGATTTGTTAGAAGCTTAACATCTCGTGTGATGGGACTTCACGGGGAATTCAAAATCCTTGAGATTTGGCGTCAGAACGTTTTCTTGGCTTCCTAGGTGGACACAATGAACGCTCTGAGAGCACTGGCTTAACTTCAATATCGCACCGTTTCACAGAACACCTGCATTTCGGCGTATGTTTTGAACGTGTACTTTGTGCTGTATCTCTATCATCTGAAGACTGAACCATTTAATAGTCATTTATTGCCGAAGGAAAATATTTAGCTCTCTCTCTCTCATACACCCCTCCCTAAGTATATTTATTCTTTTCCTCCTTTGGCTCGGATTCTGCTGTTATGAACAGAGTTCCTAAAGGTCAGTTACTTTCTTTGTGAGATGCTCTCATCCACATCGCAGGCCCTTGAGAAACTAACCGCATTCCCCAAAGAGAATGTCAGCAGCTCTGACGGGCACAATGTGCCCCCCGGGGGACAGGGCCGGGCCGGGCTGCACCTACCGTCTTGCTGAGGTAGCTGGTGCTGGTGTTCATGCACTGCTGGCCCTCACTGTTGCAGCAGCCTCCACATCTGTAGGCGGACACACACGGGGGTTTAAAGAAGGTGTTTGTTGCCGCGCCGAACTCCTTCCCCACATCTATACACACCTCACGCGGCAGGCACTGAGTTTTCCTCCACTCGCTGTCAATACCTGTCGGGGCACAGGGGGGCCGTGAGTGACACAGGAGCCAGCGAGGGCGAGGAGCCTCAGGCCGTCAGAAGTCACATTCCACTTCACATTTCCGATTTAAGGACGATCCGTAATGTGAAAAGAAAAAAGGAGGGGCGCCTGGGCGGCTCAGGTCGGTTAAGCGTCTGACTTCGGCTCAGGTCGTGATCTCAACGGTTCGCGGGTTTGAGCCCCGTGTTAGGCTCTGTGCTGACAGCTCAGAGCCTAGAGTCTGTTTCAGATTCTGTGTCTCCCTCTCTCTCTGACCCTCCCCTGCTCACGCTCTCTCTTAAAAGTAAATAAAAACATTTAAAATAAATAAGTAAATAAATCAAGGAGTTGACAGGATCCCAAATTGCCCTGTAACCCAGAATACAATATAATATTTAACAGGGCACTTATTTTCTTAAAAAGCAGATCTCCTTTTTTTTTTTTTTTTTTAATTTATTTTTGAGAGGGAGAGACAGCATGAGCAGGGGAGGGTCAGAGAGAGAGGGAGACACAGAATCTGAAGCAGCTCCAGGCTCTGAGCTGTCAGCACAGAGCCCAACGTGGGGCTCGAACCCACGAACCATGAGATCATGACCTGAGCCGAAGTCAGACGCTTAACCAACTGACTGAGCCACTCAGGCGCCCCTTAAAAAGCAGATCTCTACAGCCATGTAACAAGCTAAAGTAGGATTATACTTTCTTGAAACGATGCCTGTTTTCTACAGCATTTATGTTTGGTTTTCTTTGCTTACGAAAATGAAGATTTAATATATAGACCTTCGCAGGCCCTGCAGAGAGAGTCGCGCTCATCTGCTATATAGCACGTACTACTTTTGTGGTCTCTGAGCAAATACAAACATGATTTAATTTTTCTTTTTAAAGTGAGATGTAAATGAGAAAATGGCTATGGGTTTGGACTGAATTGAAAGATCGTTTTTAGGCAGGCTGCTTGGCAGCTCTGGGAAATGTCATGCTTGTGGCTACTTGAAAGGCAAGGGTATTTTCCATCAAGCGGGACATGGACCCAGAACTTTCAGGAAAGTCAAATTTTCCTGTTCCTTTTATACTCTTGGAATTCTGTTTCCCGTGGGTTAGTAGGTTAGCTATAGCACTGCTGACCCTTTAAATCTGCATTATACGTGATGTACTTCTTAAATACTTTAGCTTATTTTTCCCATATTTTCCTGCGAGTGAAATTTTTAGAAAGAAAGCATGAAGCCATGTTGTGTGCATTTGTTTGGAAATAAATTGCAATCTCAAACCTTGAGAGTGATTCATATCTAACAACTGAAGGCAGTTATTTTTTAAAAGTAGGCCACCCATTCATACCATGCCACTTTACCCGGCATAGTAATTTTTGTGGCCCTTTCTGCTAGATCTTTTAGTAGCTTTCCCAAAGTCCACCTGTCAAGCAATAAGGCAAGAAGAAGTCACTGGAAAGATGATCTGGGGTGATTTATAAATTCAGCATTTCTAAATCCAAATTAGAAAATCTATGTACAATTATTTTGTAAGATATAGAATGTTTAAATTGTTAACCTGACGGAGTGTGTAAAATATATCTTCACCTTTAGAAAATTTTGCTTTGGGATATCACCTCAATTTAAAAAAGAAGTGTGTTGATATGCACACATCTTTCTAGTCTTTACATTTTGAGAAATCCTTTTAACCAGTCACTGTGAAGTCATAAAATGGTATATTTTGAAAATCTTTATTTCTGTTTTGTTTGCTTTCAGCCCTAAAGACATTTAGTGGTACAAACACTGAAATTTAAAAAAAAAAAAAAAAAAAAAAAAAAACAGGCTGGCGGCTTTCACTGGGCTGATGAAAACTTATCAACTATTTTCCCCCATACTTACTTTTCAAGATCTCCGCGTTATAATGTGCTGCAGCAAATTTTATAGTCTCTTCTGTTCTTGCATTGGTGTTGGGCTGTTCTTTATGATGCTGCCAGCCGCCTTTCCTTAACTGACACTTGTACATTTTCCAGTATTCTGGGTAGAGTATGGTCATGAGCTCATCGACACTGGCCACAGACCTCAGCTGGTCCTCCAGATCGTTGCCTGCGTACGCCTATCAAAGAAACATGCGAGATCGATCATTTCTCACACTAGGGGATTCGGAAACAAATGCATGAAAGAACCCTGTAGGTTTAATGTTACGTATGCCAGATCCATATTAAAAATCAGGGTGCCTGGGTGGCTCAGTTAGTTAACTGTCTGACTTGGTTTCGGCTCAGGACATGATCAAGTGACTGGCGGGATCAAGCCCCACGGTGGGCTCTGTGCTGACAGTGTGGAGGCAGCTTGCTATTCTCTCTCTCTCCCCCCCTCCCTGCCCTTCCTCTCTCAAAATAAATAAAATTTAAAACATATATTATCAGTTACCCCCGAATGATTTAACTTTTCTTGGTAAAATTGTATCCATATTTTAATTTGAATCAATACCACAACTAAAAATGAAGTTAAGTAGCACAACCAAATTTGGCAAGTATATATTTCGGTTTTAAGACAAAAATTTGGTGAGACGTAATTTTAAAAACCATTTCTAACATAGCCTGTCTGATTTACAGTTTTACTAAATTGGCAAATTTTAAGTTTGAAAATTCATTCAAGCTTGTATTAGCCTTCAGCACATATAAACCCAAGTCCACTCTAATCCTTTGCTTCACTTTTAATTACCAGCATCAATAAAATATAATTAAGCAGGATGCTTGAAATTAGGAATCTAATTTTATGGAAGTGATTTTAAAATAAATAACCCCGTGAAGAATGAGATTTCCACAAAAGTATCACAGTTAGGTATATATATTGGCAGAACCACCAAATATTTCCAAAAATGTTGATAGGCAAGACGTATTCTGCTATGGAAAAGGCATGAACAATCCAGAGAACATGAATTCTGCTTAAAACTAATTGTCTACATTAGCGTATCTAGTTAAGTTGAACATTCCAAGTTGTATTCAGGTAGTTACTGGGGCACCTGGGTGGCTCAGTTTGTTAAGTGTCCATTCTGGGCTCAGATCATGATCTCACGGTTTGTGGGTTCGAGCCCTGCATTGGGCTCTATGCTGGTGATGTGGAGTGTGCTTGGGATTCTCTCTCTCCCTCTCTTCTCTCTGCCTCCTCCCCACTTGCGCACACACACGCTCTCTCTCTCAAAATATATAAACTTAAAAAATTATATTCAGGTAATTACCATAGATACGAAAAAAGTTTTCTAAATTATACTTTGAAATTCTGGAAAATGGACACTGTTTATATACAAAGTGAAATACAACATCAATGTTTATTTTACACTGTCATAAATATGGACATCTAAATATGGAAGTAAACACTTGGGACACAGGTTCTTCAAGTTGGGTGTGCAGAGGCATCAGCCTGAGAGCTGTTCAGTTCAGGCACCACCCCACCTGTCTCAGACAGAGGTCAACAGCCCACATTCTAGCAAGCTACAGTTTTCTCCTTTCTAATTTTGATGTACAAGAAACATTGCTTTGAAAAATCAAAATACTATGGGAAGTCTTTTAACCATTATTTTGAACAATCAAAGTTATTCTGATGTAGGTGCTATTTGTACTTTATTTCCCCTTTCTTCATTAATTGTGTCCTTGGGGCATAACACTTAATCTCTTTAGGCCGGTGTTTTAAAAATATTGATATTAATCCATTACCTTCTAGAATATAGAGGGCGACTCCAGATATGCCATGCAGCTATACACACAGTGTAATTCCATCAACTGGATGGAGCGTGGGGACGGACAGATCCCAGCTTAAATGAAAGCGACCACATATCCTCACAGTCTCTCAACAGTTCACGAAATATTTGTCTCAGGAAAATTTCACACATGACATAACATTCAAGACTCAAAAATGTGTCATAATGGAAAAGGATTAACCGGAAAGGCATTTGGCAGAAGTACATGGGTAGATGTTCGGTCCTTGGTACTGGAAGTGAAACGCCATGGATGGGTTTTGTCTGCCTCTGCTTGCCTGGATCGCCCTTGAACCAGCAGAAGCAGCATGGGTGTGTGTGACTGGTGGGTCCCTGGGATTCTTTCCCCCATAATTTGGCCAGGAGTGAAGTCGGGAGGTGACCTCAGCTGATCGCACGGATATCACAGGCACAGGCACGAGTGTTCCCTCTGCCAGGAAGAGCTGCAGCGCCACACCTGATGTTACACGGCACAGTGACAGGGGCCCTCCAGGCCATTAAGATAAAAGGCCGTAGCAAAGAGGGACTTTCAAGTATTATTTGAAGTTTTACGGCAAATCACTCTTGTACTTCAAAATTAGAAGGGAAAAGAACAGGGATGCCTGGGGGGCTCAGTCGGTTAAGTGTCGGACTCCTGATTTTGGCTCAGGTCACGATCTCCTGGTTCGTGAGTTAGGCCCCATGTCGGGCTCTGCACTGGCGCTGTGCAACTGCTTGGGATTCTCACTGTATCCTCTCTCTCTGCCCCTCCCCTGCTTGTGCTTTCTCTCTCTCTCAAAATGAATAAAAAGAAGGGAAAATAACAATATTTATATCTATGACAGAAAACACTGTTACTCAATAAATAGAAAAATAGAAACATACTTAACAGAAAAAATGCAATATAAAAAAACTTGAAAAAGAACCTAAAACTGAACCACAACAAAGGACTAGAAGATAAAAGTTATATATATGCTCTTCAGCTGAAAAAAGGCCTTTCTGAAGGTGAATATAAAAATAAAGTGTAAACTATGTGTATGGTAGCAAATACTGTAAACCAAATAAAAGGCAAACAATAAGGTAGAAAAACTATTTGCGGTATACAGGACAGATGGAGAAGGACTAATATTCTTAAAATATCACATGAATATGTTAATGACAAAAACCAAACAGGTACTTCAGTAGAAAAATGGGCAAAGATCTTAAATGGAATATTCACGAAGAATATATTCTTATGTATTTGGTGACGGTAAAATGAAGGGAACTATAGTTTCTTTCGGTCCTGGTGGGAGTATAAATTTGGATAGCTCTTTAAGGCAAATGTGTTATTACAAGTTGAAAGGACTTAAAAACAAGCTCCATTTTAGATGTTAAAGTGAGACAAACTCACTTTAACAGTGAATTAAAATTTCTGTCTAACAGAAGGGAGAATATAATTATGCCAGATGTACGTACAACTTCATCACAGGGCTGTCTATCATCATGAATTTTAAAGAACAATCTATACAGACATTAATAAAAAGACGGATTAAATAACATACAGTACAAACAGAAATTAGCAGAGAAATGGAATGAAATGACATTATAAAATGATACATAATTGAGACTTGTCAAGAGGTTCATAAATGCTTTATGAAGAAGTATACAATTTATATACAGTACACGCAATGTTTATACCTGTAGCACAGTCTTTTCACAAAACCACATTTATGTAGAGATAGTATGCATACATGTACGTTTACAGACAATAGTAAAACATGCAGCAAAAACAGATCTATCTTTCCATCCATCTATACACATCATCTCCAAATTGCAGGATTAAGGGAATTATTATGTCTTTCTTTATATATTTACGTACTTTAGATTTTAAAGAATGTACACATATAACTTTTGCTAGCAGAATGAAGATTTAAAAGTAATGATCTTGGGATGCCTGGGTAACTCAGTCCATTAAGCATCTGTTGATTTTGGCTCAGGTCATGATCTCATGGTCATGAGATACAGAGCCTTGGGTTGGGTGCTGTGCTGAGCATGGAGCCAGCTTAGGAATCTTCCCCTCCTTCTCTCGGCCCTCCCCTGCTTATACACTCTCTTGCTAAATAACAACAAAAACAACAATAATGGGGGCCTCTGGGTGGCTCGATTAAGTGACTTCAACTCAGATCATGATCTTGTGGTTGGTGGATTCCAGCCCCGTGTCGGGATCTGTGCTGACAGTGCAAAGCCTACTTGGGATTCTCTTTCTCTACCTTTCTCCCTGCTCCTCTCCCACTTGTGCTTTCTCATTCTTTCAAAATAAATAAATAAACTTAAAAAACTTTTTAATAATAATAAATAAAAATAATCGTCTCTAAGTGTTTCAGCAGGGCACAGTATCAGCAGTGAGTACAGCCTTTGTTGGCTTGGTCTCCTGATGACTCTACAAAGCGCACCCTTCAAATATTACTTAGTGTGTATAGCAACCGCTGCCGAAAGCAGAAGCTTTCGCAGACAAAATGGTATAAAAGTAGCTTGAGCAATTAATTGATTTATCCCCATTGACTTTAGTCATTCTATCTGTGTAGGAAAAAGCAGCTCTACAGATTTCCATCTTGGTTGAAGACCTTATTTAATGGAGTATCATTAGATTTCATTTGAGTCTCACTTTACTCTGTAAAATGGGAATGATAATACCTTCCTCATAAAATTTTTATGATGATCCAAACAGATATTTGATATAGAAGCAGAAAATCTTATAGTTAATGTTGGAATTACTTGTCACTATAACATCATTAGAGAGAAAATAGTACAGATTGTTTTTTATACAAATTGAAATTTTACTCAATTTTGAACTGTAACTCTCAGTATTGTACTAGTTCAAGGACGAGATTTCTTTTGATCTGTCTTCTGCATTTTTGTTCTAAATGAGGAGCAACCCAGGAATTCAGCATTGTTGGCTAAGTGACAAGGCTATTAAGTGAATCCAGAGGAGACTCAAATATTAGGAATAGATACTACCAGCTCACCATGGTATCTTCATATTCTACTGTCAATGAATTAGTAGGTGTCCCAGTAACCTAGAATGAGTTCTGAACTTGGGACACATTCAAATCTTTCAAGTAGAAGTGTTATCCGTGTGAATGTCAAGTTCTTTCTCAAAGATTTCTTTTTTGGGGGGCGCCTGAGTGGCTCAGTTGGTTAAGTGTCCAACTCTTGGTATGGGCTCAGATCATGATCTCATGGTTCGCAGTATCAAGCCCCCAGCTCTGCGCTGGTGGTGCAGAGGCTGCTTGGGATTTTCTTTCTCTGTGCAGCCCTTACCCTGCTTGCAACCCCCCCTCTCAAAATAAACATTTTTTTAAAAAACTAAAAAAAAGCTTTCTTTTTAAAAATTGTGATAT